TGGTGCAGTGCTAGGCCTCAAGCACACAGAGAGGATAGATACCAAGGTCAGCTCAGTCGTATAACATGAATCTTTGATATATTTTTAGGATTACATAGCGGCAATTATCGTTTATTTTGAGGTTTATGTTTATACAAGCCCAGTGTTTTTGTTCTGAAATTAACAGAAAAGCTCCTGTTGCTCGTGAGCTGCGGAAAGGTTAATATGCCTGTGTTTGACTGGTCGGTTTCAAGTCATTAATAATTCTTGTACGTTTTTACCGTTTTCTTTTTTATTCTTGAATGGTTTATTCCCCTTATTCCTGCATTTTCAAAAGGTATTTCAAGAATCGTTTAAAACCAGTACTGTCGTGTTTTGGTAATACGTTTTTATTAAATGTTATTAATGAAATGGTCAAATCAGGTATTGCATAGCAAAATGTTTTAATTTTTCTGTTCTCACAAATTCAAAAATGTTTGGAAAGCAAGTGATACATTACCCCCCTATCATCATCAACCCTAATTTCCCCTGTTGCTAACACTAAATCTTGACCACAGAATGTGTGGAACATTGGTTAGAAGTGATCACAGGGCTAATGGATTTCAACTTTGTGTTTTGGTTGTGTTAAAGTTTGCTTTCTTGCACAGAAAAAAATAATTCCCATTTTAGGAAGTGTTTCTTGCATTTCATTCTCAACTATGCCAGTTTATCATCAATTGATTACCTGTTTAAACAGAAACCGGGGAGAAACCATTATGTTGAAGAGCGATTGCATAGTTATTTTGCTTTATCTTGTTAGACCTACACATTTTTTAATCCAGGTTCTGAAAGTAATGAGACAGATAAATAGCTAAAGAAGCAAGTATTTTTATTATTTTATTTAGGATACAATAACAAAAAACAAACAATAAGACTGTTTCAAGTGTATCTCACATTCCATCAAGTTGCCTGTTGCTAGCCAAGCCCAAGAATGTTGAAATGATAACGAGTAGCATCTGTGGTTTCAAAATTGTATTTTTTATTATTCCCAAGGTGTGTTTCCCCTTTTTTCTATTTTTCCTTTGTTAAAGGCATTAACACCAGTAATACATAGATGATCTGGGTCCTTCACAAGGGTCCTCCAGGACCAGGGTTGGAAAGTGTTGCTTTACCTGACAGAT